GAAAGCGAGGAGGAGCTGAGGAGCCTTCTAATCAAGGTGAAAGAAGAAAGCGCAAAAGCCGGGTTGCAGCTAAACATTAAAAAAACCAAGATTATGGCAACAAGAATGATTGACAACTGGAAAATAGAGGGAGAAAACGTGGAGGCCGTGACAGACTTTGTATTTCTAGGTGCAAAGATGACTGCAGATGCAGACTGGGCCAGGAAATCAGAAGACGCTTCCTTCTTGGGAGGAGAGCAATGTCCAGTCTCGATAAAATAGTAAAGAGTAGAGACATCAGACTGGCAACAAAGATCCATTGCCTAGTCAAAGCCATGGTATTCCCTGTAGTCACCTACGGATGTGAGAGCTGGACCTTAGGGAAGGCTGAGCGAAGGAAGAGAGATGCTTTTGAGCTGTGGTGTTGGAGGAAAGTGCTGAGAGTGCCTTGGACTGCGAGAAGATCCAACCAGTCCATCCTCCAGGAAAGAAAGCCCGACTAAAGCTCATGGAGGGAAGGAGACTAGAGACAAAGTTGAAGTCCTTTGGCCACATCATGAGGAGACAGCAAAGCCTAGAGAAGACAATGATGCTGGGGAAAGTGGAAGGCAAAAGGAAGAGGGGCCGACCAAGGGCAAGATGGATGGATGGCATCCTTGAAGTGACTGGACTGACCTTGAAGGAGCTGGGGGTGGTGACGGCCGACAGGGAGCTCTGGCGTGGGCTGGTCCATGAGGTCACGAAGAGTCAGAGACGACTGAACGAATGAACAACAACAAAGCCTCCTCCTGTATCTTCTTCTGCCTCAAGAAGCCTTTGGAAAAAATTACACAAGCGGATAATTATCACATCAAGTGCTATCTATTAGGCTTGTTTGATTAAAAAAATGGTTCAAAACTCGTTTCGGATGTAAGGGGTGCTGGCAATTCGATTTTGAAATGACGTGCCAGGGGAGCCGAGGGGAAGGGGAGGAGGAAAATTGCCCTCCCCCGCTTTTCTGGTGCGTCATTTCTACGTGCCGGGAGAGCTGGCCTAAGCCTGTAATGGAGGCCGGGTAAGTTTTTATTACTTTTTAAAGGAGTCTGGGAGCTTCAGGGCAGTGGGGTGGGTATTCCGACAGTTTGCTGGGCTTATTTAGCCCAGTAAACTGCGGAAATACTGTTTGGACTCTAGTATTCTGCTATCCAGAACTGCAAATAAACCCACTATCTAATTAATTCACTACAAACCAGGGTTTTCCTGGTTTCATAGAATCATAGAATCATAGAATCAAAGAGTTGGAAGAGACCTCCTGGGCCATCCAGTCCAACCCCATTCTGCCAAGAAGCAGGAATATTGCATTCAAATCATGCCTGACAGATGGCCATCCAGCCTCTGTTTAAAAGCCTCGAAAGAAGGAGCCTCCACCACGCTCCAGGGCAGAGAGTTCCACTGCTGAACGGCTCTCACAGTCAGGAAGTTCTTCCTTGTGTTCAGGTGGAATCTCCTCTCTTGTCATTTGAAGCCATGGCTCCATTGGGTCCTAGTCTCCAAGGAAGCAGAAAACAAGCTTGCTCCCTCCTCTCTCCCTGTGGCTTCCTCTCACATATTTATACATGGCACTCATCATGTCTCCTCTCAGCCTTCTCTTCTTCAGGCTAAACGTGGCCAGCTCCTTAAGCCGCTCCTCATAGGGCTTGTTCTCCAGACCCTTGATCATTTGAGTCGCCCTCCTCTGGACACATTCCAACTTGTCAATATCTCTCTTGAATTGTGGTGCCCAGAATTGGACACAATATTCCAGGTGTGGTCTAACCAAAGCAGAATAGAGGGGTAGCATTACTTCCTTAGATCTAGACACTATGCTCCTATTGATGCAGGCCAAAATCCAATTGGCTTTTTTTGCCGCCACATCACATTCCTGGCTCATGTTTAACTTGTTGTCCACGAGGACTCCAAGATCTTTTTCACACGTCCTGCTCTCGAGCCAGGCGTTTGTAGTTAATTAATTCGGGACTGTCCAGAATGTTGTCTGGACAGCCCCTCCTTTATTGCGGTAACTACTGCAATAAAGGTACTGTCTGGATGGGCTCTCCTTTTCTGTAGTTGGCCATCCTTGAAGGGACTGGCTTGACCTTGAAGGAGCTGGGGGTGGTGACAGCCGATAGGACGTTCTGGCATAGGCTGATCTGGGAGGTCACAAAGATTTGGAAATGACTGGATGCATAAACAACAAACAATCTCTTGGGTAGACAAGCGGACAAATGTTAGCGTGATGGAAGAAGCAAAGACCAACAGCATCGAAGCGATGCTCCTCTGCCATCAACTCCACTGAACTGGCCACGTTATCCGGATGCCTGACCACCGTCTCCCTAAGCAGTTGCTCTACTCCGAACTCAAGAACGGAAAATGGAATGTTGGTGGGAAGGAAAAGAGATTGAAAGTAGGCCTGTGCGATTTGGTTCGTTAATTCGTTAATTCGTTAATAATTCGTTAATTTTACCATTTCCGAAGCGATATTGAAACAAATCTCCAAACCCGGAAGGGTTTATAAATATCGAACCAGCAGCCCCCATAGTATTTACGAGCCTCCGCTCGTTTCGTTAATGGGGTGGAGGCTGCTGGAGTGCTGGTGCATGGGAGCCAATCCGGCGCTCCCAAGCAGTGCACCATGGGTCCGTGGCTGTTTTTGATTGGCCGGCGAGCCCTTTCAAAGCGGCTCCGCGCGGCCCGTAGCTTGCTGCAGAGGGCGAGGGAGTTTGCATTGGGTTGGCTTGGCAATGGCTGCTAGCAACTGGGATTGGATTCATTCCTTGCTGCTGTGAGTGCTGCTTGCTTCATTTGCTGTCTCTTGCCTGTGTTTGGTCCACATTTGGGCCATTTTTGGTTAATTTTCCATTTTAAAATATTTTTAATATTATTTTTTAATATTATTTTTTAATATTATTTTTAATATTATTTTTTAATATTATTTTTAATATTATTCTTAAAAAATATTCTAAAAAAGAAAAGACTCTTCTGTTGGTGTGTGCTCTCATTTGCTGTATCCTGCCTGTGTTTGGTCATTTTTTGGTTAATTTTCCATTTTAAAATATTTTTAATATTATTTTAATATTATTCTTAAAAAATACAAAAAATATTCTAAAAATTCGTTAATATTTACAAAATTTCGTAAATAACAAAACTTTTTTTGGGAAAGTTTTGTAAATATTTTAAATATCGAAACAAAAAAACACCCCAATTACAAATCGATTTTAGAAACAAATTTTTTCTTGATCAAACAGGCCTAAAAGAGATTTAAAGATGGCTCAAAGCCAACCTTAAAAACTGTGGCATAGACACTGAGAACTGGGAAGCCCTGGCCCTTGAGCGCTCCAGCTGGAGGTCAGCTGTGACCAGCAGTGCTGCAGAATTTGAAGAGGCATGGATGGGGGGAAAGAGAGAAATGTGCCAAGAGGAAGGTGCTTCAAGCCAACCCCGACCAGGACCGCCTTCCATCTGGAAACCGATGCCCGCACTGTGGGAGAAGATACAGATCAAGAATAGGGCTCCACAGTCACCTATGGACCCACCGCCAAGACAATACACTTGGAGGACCATCATCCTCGGACTACGAGGGATCACCTAAGGGCACCACAATTCAAGAGAGATATTGACAAGCTGGGATGTGTCCAGAGGAGAGCGACTAAAATGATAAAAGGTCTGGAGAACAAGCCCTATGAGGAGCGGCTTAAGGAGCTGGGCATGTTTAGCCTGAAGAAGAGAAGGCTGAGAGGAGATATGATAGCCATGTATAAATATGTGAGAGGAAGCCACAGGGAGGAGGAGGGAGCAAGCTTGTTTTCTGCTTCCCTGGAGACTAGGATGCAAGGGAACAATGGCTTCAAACTACAAGAGAGGAGATTCCATCTGAACATGAGGAAGAACTTCCTGACTGTGAGAGCCGTTCAGCAGTGGAACTCTCTGCCCCGGAGTGTGGTGGAGGCTCCTTCTTTGGAAGTTTTGAAACAGAGGCTGGATGGCCATCTGTCAGGGGTGATTTGAATGCAATATTCCTGCTTCTTGGCAGAATGGGGTTGGACTGGATGGCCCAGGAGGTCTCTTCCAACTCTTTGATTCTATGATTCTAGACTTGAACAACAAAACAAAAAGAAGACGAAGAAAAAAAGAAGATCAGGACCTTGAATCCGCCATGCCTGGGAGCAGTGCTGTGATGATTGAAACATGTTTTCATTGATTGCACAGGCAGAGGCGGCCCTAGGTAATTTTCAACGGTAAGCAAACAGTATTTTGGCGCCCCCTCCCCCCCCAACCAATCATTGATATATATTTTCTGTTTGTCGTGGGAGTTCTGTGTGCCATATTTGGTTCAATTCCATCATTGGTGGAGTTCAGAATGCTCTTAGATTGTAGGTGAACTATACATCCCAGTAACTACACTTGCCGCACTTGCTCCCTTGCCTGGCCCGCTTTGGGTCCGGAGGCGTGCCTGAAGACCCCGGCGTGTGCACCAAAAGTCACCTCTTCTCCTGACTTTCTCCTCAGCCATTGGGACCAAGAGGGAGAGAGAGAGAGACAGAGGTGGAGATGCCCACCTTTCCTGAAGGTAGGCGCAAAAACAAAGGAGGGAGCGGAGGTGGGAGATACCTCCAGCCAGAGGGTCTCTCTCTCTCTCTCTCTTGGTCCCAATGGCTGAAGAGAAAGTCAGGAGAAGAGGCGACTTTTGGTGCGCACGCTGGGGTCTTCAGACACGCCTCTGGACCCAAAGCGGGCCAGGCGTGGCGGCTCCGCCCCTTGGCCCACCTGCGGATTGGGGAGAGGAGAGGAGGCGGGTGGAGCGCGGGAATGGGTCTGTGGCAGGCAATGGCCCGTCTTCTTTGCCCTAATGGCCCTTGATGCAAATGCAAATGCTTTCTCACCCGTGGATTATCCCCTGCCGCCCGCTCATCTGCTTCCTCAGAGAGAGGGAGAGCGCACACACGCCTGAGCTGGATTTATGTTCTGCAATCCCCAGCCATTATTTAACAAGTTGTTTTGATATTTCAATGCCTTGCAACTGGAGGCTCTGCCCAGGGAAGCTTGGCCAAGGTGCCCTCCGCCTCCACGCCTGCAAAGACCTTTCTATCCGGGAAAGAGGGAGCTTATGCCCAACTTCAGAGAGCGGCTCAAGAGCGGCTTGGACCAAAGAGGAAGGCGAGGGCAGCCAGCCTTCAAGGCAACCCACATGAGGGGACTGGGGGGGGGGTTGGAGAGAGGGGCGCGAGGGGCCTGACCTGACGTAGAGGGAGCGCTTCTGGCTTGTCCGCAGGGAGCCGGACCCCGAACTGATGCTGCTGTTCATCATCTGCTCCCGCAAGTCGTGGATCTTGGCCTCAAAGCGGCTGTATTCTGCCAGGAAAGAGGGCCAGGGAGGAAAGAGAGAAAGGAGGAGCGCCGGGGGTTACAATATAATATTAACAATAATAAAACGAACAAAATCTGGCTACCAGTATTAAAAAAACTCTAAAATTACAACAGCAAAACAACAGAGAGGGAACAATCAGGGACATCTAATCACCTCTCAACAAAAGATTGCCCAGGCACTAACAAGCCACACCAAACAACACTAACAACACTAACAAGCCACACCAAACAACTGCCGGGCCATCAAATGCTAATCAAGGTGGTCAGTTGAAACATTCACACCCAGCTCCAACAGACAAGAGTCCTTTGTCCCACCCTGGTCATTCCTCAGATATATAAACCCTTTTTCCTTGTTCCAACAGACCTCACTACCTCTGAGGATGCTTGCCATAGATGCAGGTGAAACATCAGGAGAGAATGCCTCTAGACCATGGCCGAAAAAACCTACAACCCAGTTATTCCGGCCATGAAAGCCTTTGACAATACAATAATAAAACTTTGTTTATATACCGCTCTATCTCGCGTAGGGGATGGAGAGCGGTTTCCAAATAGCAAAACATAAACACATTATAAACCAATCCCACCAGTTCAGGCAGGGTTTTTTTGGGGGGGGGGCAGGGGGGGGGACAAGATTCTGGAAAGAGGAAGATATTCTTCCTCAAGCAGGACAAGATCCACTTGCCTTCTGGGCGGTATTGGGCCACAATGGTGACCGTCTGGCCCGCATTCTTCAAGGCAGCGGCTGCTTCTTCGTGGGTGGCTGCTTTCATGTCAGCACCGTTCACCTGCGAGGGAAAAGGGAATGAGGCAGGAGGGCCCATGGCACGGCCTTCCCCAGGTGAAGCAGAGAGGGAGGGGGGACTGCGGGCCAGACCCCCCAGGCACCCCTTCCCCAGTGGCCTCTGGGCTGTGCTTCTTGGTAGGGCAAGGGCCCAGGACATGGAAGGGGAGGGGTCCCTGCTGCCTCCTCAGTGCCCCCGTCCCCCTGAATTGCTTACCGAAATGATGCGGTCCCCCTTGCGGAGCTCCCCGCTCAGGTCTGCAGGTCCCCCGGCCAGGATGAAGGAGACGAAGATCCCCTCCCCGTCCTCGCCGCCCACAATGTTGAAGCCGAGCCCCGTGGAGCCCCTCTGGAGCACCAGCCGCCGAGGCTCCCTGTGGGGCGGGAAGAAGGGCCACAGGTAGAAAGAGGAGAGGAGGACACACTCAGGGACCGAGGGCAGGAACTCAAGGCCGCAGCCCAACAACCAATAATGATAATAATAATAATAATCTTTATTTATACCCCGCCACCATCTCCCCAATGGGGACTCGGAGCGGTTTACATGGGGCCAACATGTTACAGCAAAATAAAACCAAAACATAAACAACAAGCAAGATCATCAAAGAGCAAACCATCTGGTTTGCAAGTGAGGGAAGATCGGAACTGGGAGCCATGACTGGCCCCAAGTGGGCTGTGGGGCCCGGGCCCAGCTGCACCGCCTCCTTCTTCCCTGGCGGCACACAAATTGTCTTTACTAATAATATAATATAGTATATTGTATATACATATGATATTTATAATATTATAATGTAATACAATATAATACTAGTAACAATAATTCAATATTATAATTATAATTATATATTTACATTACATGTAATATTACTAATAATATTACAATATAATGGTATAGTGCAATATAGTAATATATATTGATATTGTACTATGCTCATAATATAATATATTGTATGAAAATATATATTGTAAGCTGCTCTGAGTCCCCTTCGGGGTGAGAAGGGCGGCATATAAATGCCGTAAATAAATAAATAAACCCCCAGGCTGGCTGCGTCCCCCCATTCCCGCCCCCCCCCCATTCCCTCCCTCGGTGGGGCTGGCTCCTCCCTACCTGGTGACCTCGTCGTCTCCCAGCATGCCCTTGGGGGTCGGAGAGTACCTCCCGGGCGAGGGCGAAGGCGCTGGCGGAGGGGTCTGGCCCAGGAAGCCCGAGGGGGGCCCAACGTGGTTGTTGTCCATGGGCTGGCAGTACGCTGCAGAGGAGGAGGAGGAGGAGGGAGAAGGGGGTGCAGGGGGGGGTTACTACACCTTGGCTGATGCCTCCTGCAAAGAGGAAGGGGTGTCAGGATTTATTGAGTTATGTATGTGTTTTAAAGGTGCTTCTATGTATTGCAAATATGGATGCCACTGAGATTGGAAAATGCTGTGCAGAAATGTTTAGAATTGAGGCTGTGATTAAGTGAACTTGAGAAAGTAAGAAAATCTGGCTACCAGTATTAAAAAACTCTAAAATTATAACAGCTAAACAACAGAGAGGAAAAAACCAGGCACAGATTAACACCTCCCAGCAACAGATTTTCCCAGGCTCAGGCAGGCCTTCAAATGCTAATGAAGGTGATCAGCTGAAACATTCACACCTAACTGCAGCAGGGAAGAGCTCCTTGCCCCACCCCAGCCATTCCACAGATATATGAACCCATTTTTCCTACTTCCAACAGACCTCACAACCTCTGAGGATGCTTGCCATAGATGCAGGCGAAACGTCAGGAGAAATGCCTCTAGAACATGGCTCTATAGCCCGAAAAAACCCACAAGAACCTAAGATAAGCTTTGTTCTGGTGAGAAACTGAAGGGAGTTGCCAGCCTCTAGCAAGAGAAGATAAGCAGATGTGAAGAAGGGTTTTGGATTTCGGTCTTGACTAGTTCTCTTCCTGAATGTCGCTCGCTGAAGTAAGATGTGTTTGCTGTGTGTGCTTAGTAAAACTTACAGTATATTCTGGCGTATAAGACTACTTTTTAACCCAAGAAAATCTTCTCAAAAGTCAGGGGTCGTCTTATACGCGGGTGTAGTCTTATGCATGGGAGTTGTCTTAACTCTATATTTTAACTGGAAATGTTGGGGGTCGTCTTATACGCCCAGTCGTCTTATATGCCGGAATATACGGTAGTTTTCTTTTGTAACTCAAAGCTTGCAGAGTCCTTATTGGCAACTCAGTGTCTGTTTGATCTAGCATTCCTTCCACTGGGCATCGTCAATCTCTGGCAAGGGGCTCCTGGAGAACATGGCCCCCACATTTCACATTTCTGAGGGGCGCCCCCCCCATATTGACGACAAGTGACTTTCAGGTTGTCCTACAGTTCAAGCTGTTGCTCGAGTAAGTACGAGGCATCACGCTATGTGCAAAAGGCAGCCTGAGTGCATTAATCTCTCTGCCACATAATCCTTAATAAGCACATCATAGATCATCGAGAATAACATCCCGGCATTAAGGGAAGGCGGCATTGGCATTCGTTCACAGGACGGAGCCCTCGAGAGATGCAACGCGTGCCTCTCAGTGTGCCTTGGCTTTGGTGGACAGCCCCTCAGCCCCCCCCCTCCAGGCTCCACCTCCCACCGGCTGCGCCCTTCCCCTTTGCCCCTCCCTCCCTGGCCACCTTTGCCCCCGCCCCTTCCCTGGCTGGCCGAGCAGACGGGGACCCACGGTCCTATTCTTGGCCAGGCCATGGGGTGGGGGTGTCTCAGGAGGGGCGAAGGGGGCGGACTCACAGTTGGCGAGGTCCGCGGGCTGGGCGTAGCTGTCGTTCATGAACATGCTGGTGGGCTTGGCGACCTTCAGGTAGACCAGGTCGGAGGTGTTCTTGAGGGCCGTCACGGCCTCTTCGTGGGTCACTTCCTCCAAGCAGACTGTGTTCACCTGGAAGGAAGGAAGGAAGGAAGGAGATTGGCCTTTGCTGAAGCCCAGGAGGACAATGGCGCCACCCCAAGAGGAGCCACATGCAAAGGGCCAAGGAGCCCCAACTAAGGAGGATGCCACACCAGCCAGAGTGGGTTCTCTCCCCCTCTCCAAAAAGGAAGAAGGAAGGGCCAGGGGCAGAGGGGCGGCCTACTCACGGCCATGAGCTTGTCTCCGATCTGGAGCCTGCCGTCCTTGTGTGCTGCGCCACCTCCAAAAAGGAAGAAGGAAGGGCCAGGGGCAGAGGGGCGGCCTACTCACGGCCATGAGCTTGTCTCCGATCTGGAGCCTGCCGTCCTTGTGTGCTGCGCCACCTTCGATGATTTTGGTGACGTAGATGCTGTTGTCTCCAGGAATGTGCTGGTTCCCGACCCCGCCGGCAATGCTGAACCCGAGCCCTGCATGAGGGAGGGAGAGAGGGAGGGAGGGGGACATCAGCAGCCCCTTCCCCAACTGGCCTGGTGGGGCTCCGTCAGAGGCAACTGAGGAGGCAAGGGCCCGGAAAGCAGACCAATGGACAGAGTGGCACCTGGTGGAGGGTTTTGGGGGCAAGGACCAGGCATGGACTGCAGGGAAAGGGCACTGGTGGCAGAGTAAGGAACTCTGCACAGTACGGCTGGGGTGTAGGGTGGGGTGGGGGTGCGATCCCCTGAGGGAGAAAGCAAGGTTTCCTCTGAGGAAGGCCGTTCTGCCACCCTGCCCCCCCCCCCAGGCGCCCTCCTTGCCTGCCCACCCACCTTTGGGGCCCTTGACCAGCTTGATCTCCACAATCTTCTCCGTGACTTGCTTCCGCCGCTTGATGTGCAGGCGCACCATGGAGCCGGCCTCCTTCAGGGCCTCCACGGCTTTGCTGTGCGTCACGTCCCGGACGTCCACCTCGTTGACGCGCAAGATGCAGTCGCTCACCCTGCGGCCAACAGAGCAAAGCCCGTCAGGATCGCGCTCCAAGCCTGGTGGCAGCAACCACTTCCTCCGTCCTTGTCCTTGCCTGCCCCCCCCCCATCTGAGCAAGGGATTCCTGGGATTCAGGAGCATTGGGGGGGGGGGCTCCCAGAGTGGGCAAGGGCCACTTCCACCCCAGACCAGGGGCCCTCAGGGCCAAAGCAGGACCAGGAGGCAATGCGGAAGCAGCTGCCAAAACAAGCAAGGGCCGGCAGAGGCGTTTCGGCCCCCCACGTACCGCAGCCGACCATCCTGAGCGGCCGCCCCTCCAGGGATGATCTTGGTGATGAAGATGCTGGAGTCGTCCTCAATGTGAGGGTTGTCCGTCCCGCCTGCGATGCTGAAGCCCAGTTGTAGTTCACCTACATCCAGAGAGCACTGGGGGCTCAAACAATGATGGATCTGGACCAAACTTGGCACAAATAGTCAATATGTCCAAATGTGAACATTGGTGGAGTTTGGGGGAAATAGACCTTAACATTTGGGAGTTGTTGTTGCTGGGATTTATAGCTCACCTACAATCAGAGAGCATTCTGAACCCCACCAATGATAGGATAGGTATTTAATGAAGACCACTGATTTTATGGGAGAACAGCTGTTTTGGAGCAACTGAAATAATACTTCTGAAGATCTGAGATATATATATTGTGCATTGCCATATCTTCATTCCTAACAGTTCAGAAAGATCACCTGGTACATCAGTCTAACAAATGAGAAGCCTAATTTGCAATGCATGAATAGTAGTGGATATTTACCACTAACATAGAAAAAAAAAAGATTGACTCCAATGAGTATTTAACTCTTCTCAGGAAGATCACACTTTACAAAAGGGTTGTGATTTTCCAAATGGTAGTGAATGCCAATTCATCTCCAAAAGGCCACATTTCCAAAAGGCTTTGGAGATTCTGATTCTCCAAGAGGTTATAATCTCAAAGGTCATCCTTCTCTCGAAAATTCCTACTTGGCAGTGATTCGGGGAGCTGAATTAGGCACCCACGCGGTTTTATTTCCATGCTCCACAGAGGGCAATGGGTTTCCTTCTCCATTTGTTTCTCTCCCTGCATCAAAGGTCTCGAATTCCTTGTTCCCATCAGTCTCATAAATCTCTTTCTGAGGAAATGTTTGATATTCTGCCGAATGTTTTTGCTTTTACACGCTTCCTTCCCTCTGGGTGCCAGCGCTCACCCCCCGGCAGAAAAACCGAACAGATCCTGTCTCTACAGGCACAGGTACAGTCATGTCGTGCTACACTCTTGTGCGTTTGGAAGTCTTCTGAGTTAGTGATGGGGAAGAAAAGGGGGTGAACACACTGGAGAAGAAACCTACCAAAACAGCCCCCATGAAAATAGCCATATATAATCTCGAGCAGTTAACACGGCTCTCCCTGGAGTCACAGAGGACACGGAACAAGGCCGTGTTCATCATAGAATCCTAGAGTTGGAAGAGACCTGGTGGGCCATCATCCAGTCCAACCCCATTCTGCCAAGAAGCAGGAAAATTGCATCCAAAGCACTCATAAAATCAAAGAGTTGGAAGAGACCTGGTGGGTCATCCAGTCCAACCCCATTCTGCCAAAAAGCAGGAATATTGCATTCAAAGCACCCCTGACAGATGGCCATTTTCCAGAGGCTGATGGAATCATTCCAGGAGTTGCATGTGACATCTGTAGACAGTCCACGTCTCACAGGCATAGAGCAGGGTTGGGAGGACAATAGCTTTATAGACAAGCACCTTGGTTTCCCTACGGATGTCCTGGTCCTCAAACACTCTCTGCTTCATTCGGAAAATGCTGCACTCGCAGAGCTCAGGCGGTGTTGTATTTCGGTGTCGATGTTGACTTTGGTGGAGAGGTGGCTGCCAAGGGAGTGGAAATGGTCAACATTTTCTAATGTTACACCATTAAGCTGTATCTCTGGCATTGGGGAGGGGATGGCTGGTGACTGCTGGAACAGCACTTTGGTTTTCTCGATGTTCAGTGACAGGCCAAGCTTTGTGTATGCTTCTGCGAAGGTGTTTAGAGTGGCTTGTAGATCTTCTGAATCTAGTCCAGCATTGATGGACAGTGACGGGACAGGCCTTTTCAAATGCGCCAATTCCTTCAGAGAGCCGTTGCTGGCTTTACCTGCACTCTTCAAAGTTCCTCAGATGTTTCTTCTGAGGCAAAACCTCTCGCTTCACTTTGGAAGTTGATTCAGTCAAAATCCATGGCCAACAGAATGATGCCACATTCATCAGAAGGATTTGGGGAATTTTATCAGAACTCTTTGGACTCTTGTTCAAAGGTACTCTGATCTGAAAGATCTGCCTCCAAATTTCCTTCCATCTGCACTTTAGATGTGCCGGGCCTCAACGTTGCTTTCAGATGGGCTTCAGCTCTGATCGAGTGCCAGCACAAAACGTTCAGAAGGACAATAAAGTAAGATATGGGTTGGGCTGAGTTGTAAGATTAAGGAGAGAAGAAGCAGAGGACTGGAAGGAAGGGCAGAACTAGAGTGAGAGCCGGATGGAAAGTCAACTCCTACGGAAGTGCAGAGGAGACAAGTATGAACGTCTCATGGACATATTGCACCTACACTCTGATACAACCTGCCTCTGTGTAACCATTGCTGTGAAACATAAATGGAAGGGCAGTATGGAGCACAAATATGGTTTTGGACTTTCTAGAGCAGTGTTTCTCAATCTGGGTGTCGGGACCTCTGTTGGGGGGTAGCAAGGGGTGTGTAAGGGAGGTTGCCAAAGACCATCAGAAAGCACAGTAGTTTCTGTTGGTCATGTTGGTTGGTTCTGTGTGGGAGCTTTGGCCCAATTCTATTGTTAGTAGGGTTCAGAAGGCTCTTTGGTTGTAGGTGAACTATAAATCCCAGCAACAACAACTCCCAGATGTCAAGGTCTATTTTCCCCAAACTCCACCAGTGTTTACATTTGGGAATATTGAGTATTTGTGCCATGTTTGGTGCAGATCCATCATTGTTTGACTCCACAGTGCTCTCTGGATGTAGGTGAGCTACAACTCCAAAACTCAAGGTCAGTGCCCACCAAACCCTGCCAGTATTTCCTGTTGGTCATGCGGTTATGTGTGGGAAGCTTGGCACAAATCTATCATTGGTGGAGTTCAGAATGTTCTTTGATTGTAAGTGAACTGTAAATCCCAGCAACTACAACTGCCAAATGTCAAGGTCTGCTTCCCCAAACTCTACCAGTGTTCACAAGTGGGCATATTGAGAATTCATGCAAGGTTTGGTCCGGATCCATCATTGTTTGAGTCCACATCTCTGGATGTAGGTGAACTACAACTCCAAAACTCAAGGTTAGCACCCACCAAACCCTTCCAGTATTTCCTGTTGGTCATGGGAGTTCTTTGGCCAAGTCTGGTTCAATTCCATCACTGGCGGAATTCAAAATGTTCTTTGATTGTCAGTGAACTATAAATCCCATAAACTACAACTCCCAAATGTCAAGGTCTATCTTCCCCAAACTCCACCAGTGTTCACATTTGGACATATGGAGTATTTGTGCCAAATTTGGTCCAGATGCATCATTGTTTGACTCAACAGTGCTCTCTGGATGTAGGGGAACTACAACTCCAAAACTCAAGGTCAATGCCCACCAAACCCTTCCAGTATTTCCTGTTGGTCATGCGGGTTCTGTGTGGGATGTTTGGCCCTATTCTATACAAAAAGTAGCTGTACCCGCCACGTGTTGCTGTGGCCAACCTTCCCTCCTCTTTCTTTCCTTCCGTCCCTCTTTTTCTTTCCCTTCTTCCTTCTTCTTTCTTACCTCTTTCCTTGCTTCCTTTGCTCTTTGATTGCACCCTTCCTTGTCTCTTTTCTTCCTTCCTTACCTCTTTCATTCCTTCTCTCCTTCCTTCCCTACCTTTTTTAATTTCCTTCTCTCCTTACCTCCTTTCCCCCTTTCTCTCCTTTCTTTCTCTCCTTGGAGAACACAGAAATGCTGGACCACTCTCACCACCACCATGTCAGGCGACACAGAGAAGCCACTGAAATCCGCAAGAAGCATGTGGACAATTTCAACAGAAAGGAGGAAACCATGAAAATGAACACAATCTGTCTACCAGTCAGAGGCGGCCCTAGGTAATTTTCAACGGTAAGCAAACAGTATTTTGGTGCCTCCCCCCCCCCCCCAATCCTTGATATATATTTTCTGTTTGTCGTGGGAGTTCTGTGTGCCATATTTGGTTCAATTCCATCATTGGTGGAGTTCAGAATGCTCTTTGATTGTAGGTGAACTATACATCCCAGTAACTACACTTGCCGCACTTGCTCCCTTGCCTGGCCCGCTTTGGGTCCGGAGGCGTGCCTGAAGACCGCGGCGTGTGCACCAAAAGTCACCTCTTCTCCTGACTTTCTCCTCAGCCATTGGGACCAAGAGAGAGAGAGAGACAGAGGTGGAGATGCCCACCTTTCCTGAAGGTAGGCGCAAAAACAAAGGAGGGAGCGGAGGTGGGAGATACCTCCAGCCGGAGGGGCTCTCTCTCTCTCTCTCTTGGTCCCAATGGCTGAAGAGAAAGTCAGGAGAAGAGGCGACTTTTGGTGCGCACGCTGGGGTCTTCAGACACACCTCCGGACCCAAAGCGGGCCAGGCATGGCGGCTCCGCCCCTTGGCCCACCCGCGGATTGGGGAGAGGAGAGGAGGCGGGTGGAGCGCCGGGGGATCGGGAAAGGGAGCCGGTCATGGGGAAGGGATCAAACGCAGAGAACCCGGTGGCCGAGTGGAGCAGGAACGAGAGGGGCTAGGTGAGGCTCAAGGGCCCGGCCTCTTTGGGAAGAGGATCACCTGGCAGCGAGGCAAGAAAGCCGAGGCTCCCCCCGGACTGCTAGGGCTGTTGTGAGCTGAGGGGGCGCTCCTCAAGTGGCGGTCGAGGGGCATTTACAGAGGCGCCTCTGCGCCCCTGGCAAAAAAAAGTGTTCTGCGACCGCTTACTTTGCGTAATGGACGAGCCGTCCCTGCTACCAGTATTAAAAAAACTCTAAAATTACAACAGCAAAACAACAGAGGGGAAACAATCAGGGACAGCTAATCACCTCTCAACAAAAGATTGCCCCAGGCATTGCCAGGCTATCAAATGCTAATCAAATTGGTCAGTTGAAACATTCACACCTAGCTCCAGCAGACAAGAGTCCTTGGTCATTCCACAGATATATAAACCCAATGTTCCTAGTTCCAGCAGACCTCACTACCTCTGAGGATGCTTGCCATAGATGCAGGCGAAACGTCAGGAGAGAATGCCTCTAGAACATAGCCATATAGCCTGAAAAAACCTACAACAACCCAATCCCTAGCTTTTGTATTTTATCAAATTGTATTGCAGAATGCTGGGCAACTGAATAAATCAGAACTGTGTGTGAACCTGTTCCTTGTTGTTGAACTACTTTGGCGAAAGCAAATAGGACCCCAAAACACAGTTCAAGTTGACAGGCTTATGTATTAGCTCCCTTCCCATGCCATGAGCTCAGACCTGTACTAACTTCCACTGACTTAGTTAATTTGTATTAATAAGAGCTGCCCTTGTGCGGTTGTTAATGATTCACCTATTGAGTTGATAAGCCCTTCCATAACAGATTGAAAACCCATCGGGTGGTGAAAGATGAGGGACTCTTTGCTTAGCCACTGGCATTGGTGGCTGTAACTGAGAAGACTGAAGACCCTGGGCATGGAGGAATTCCAGGGATGCCTTCCTTGGCTTCTGGAGGGATGGATGTTTGCGTTTGATAGATGAGAGGATGATGGGGAGCAATTAGGCTGGCAGGTTGAATGGCGCTGGGCTGCTGTTATCTGCAAATGATAGAGAGACATGGAGTCAGAAATGCCATCAGCAGGTTCAAGCCATGGGCTTTGGGCAATGAGTAACTACTCCGTCTGTGATGCAACCTGCACCCATTAGAGCTTTCTGTTCTCCACTCGGCTATAAACACACCCATCCAGGTGGAATTCCAGCTCGGATGTATAGCTGAAGGAAAGCAGGACGGGGGCTCTTTCCTCTTCCCATTCCAAAGCTTCAAGGTGTGTCCACAAGTGATACGAATTTCCAATCACAACGTGTCCAAACCTTGGCCTCACGTCCCATGCCCTTATCCCTTTATGGCCATTATGAGAGGTCAGCTTGGGTGTGGTGCTCTAGGTGCTCTTACTGCCTGCTACAGGGAAAACCAGCGGATCCCTAACCCATCTAAAACACAGACATGTGCCTCACCCGCCTCATAGGAAACCTGCTACAAAACAGGAGCTTTTTTGTTGAGTTCCAGGGCCAGAGAAGCAGATGGCGGAAACAGAAGAACGGCCTGCCTCAGGGAGCGTGCTTGCTCCATCCATGTTCAACATCTACACAAATGACCAGCCACTGCCAGAAGGGACAGAGAGCTTCATCTATGCTGATGATCGTGCCATCACCACTCAAGGAAATCAGCTACAACAGGAGCTTTTTGTTGAGTTCCAGGGCCAGAGAAGCAGATGGCGGAAACAGAAGAACGGCCTGCCTCAGGGGAGCGTGCTTGCTCCATCCATGTTCAACATCTACACAAATGACCAGCCACTGCCAGAAGGGACAGAGAGTTTCATCTATGCTGATGATCGTGCCATCACCGCTCAAGGAAATCAGCTACTGAACAGGAGCTTTTTTGTTGAGTTCCAGGGCCAGAGAAGCAGATGGCGGAAACAGAAGAACGGCCTGCCTCAGGGGAGCGTGCTTGCTCCATCCATGTTCAACATCTACACAAATGACCAGCCACTGCCAGAAGGGACAGAGAGCTTCATCTATGCTGATGATCGTGCCATCACTGCTCAAACAGGGAAGCTACCGAACAGGAGCTTTTTTGTTGAGTTCCAGGGCCAGAGAAGCAGATGGCGGAAACAGAAGAACGGCTTGCCTCGGGGGAGCGTGCTTGCTCCATCCATGTTCAACATCTACACAAATGATCAGCCACTGCCAGAAGGGACAGAGAGTTTCATCTATGCTGATGATCGTGCCATCACCGCTCAAGCAGGGAGCTTTGAGATGGTAGAACAGAAGCTCTCCGAAGCTCTAGGTGCTCTTACTGTCTATTACAGGGAAAACCAGCTGATCCCTAATCCACCTAAAACACAGACATGTGCCTTTCAACTTAAGAACAGACAAGCATCCTGAGCTCTGAGGATTATTACCTAGGAAGGAAGGAATCCCACTGGAGCATTGCAGCGCACCCAAATCCCTGGGAGTCACTCTGGACCGTGCTCTGACCTACAAGAAGCACTGCCTGAATATCAAGCAAAAAGTGGGTGCTAGAAACAATATCATACGAAAGCTGACTGGCACAACCTGGGGATCACAACCAGACACAGTGAAGACATCTGCCCTTGCGCTATGCTACTCTGCTGCTGAGTATGCGTGCCCAGTGTGGAACACATCTCACCACGCTAAAACAGTGGATGTGGCTCTTAGTGAGACATGCCGCATTATCACGGGGTGTCTGCGCCCTACACCACTGGAGAAATTACACTGCTTAGCCGGTATTGCACCACCTGACATCCGCCGGGAAGTAGCAGCCAATAGTGAAAGGACCAAGGCA